TTTTTTTTTTTTTGAGACAAAGTCTTGCTCTGTCACCATGCTGGAGTGCAATGGCGCGATCTCAGCTCACTGCAACCTCCATCTACCAGGTTCAAGCAATTCTCCTGCCTCAGTCTCCCAAGTAACTGGGACTACATGTGCACGCCACCATGCCCAGCTAATTTTTGTATTTTTAGTAGAGACAGGGTTTCACCATGTTGGCCAGTGTGGTCTCAATCTCTTGACCTCGTGATCTGCCCGCCTCGGCCTCTCAAAGTGCTGAGATTACAGGCATAGCCACCGCACCTGGCCCGGGGAAGGCATTTTTGAAGAAATAATAGTTGAGTTGAGATCTGATAAAAGAAGTAGGAGTAAATGGTGGGGTTGGGGGAGCGGTTTTCCAAGAAGAGAAGACAGGACATATGAAGGGCTGGTAATAGGAGGCAGTGTGTCCATTTTGAATTGGTAAAACAAGGGAGCAAGAGTGCGTTAGAGAGGATAAACCCAAAGAGTCTTTGAGTCTGATGAGATGGGCAGAGCCCAGATTATGCAAGGTTTTGTAGTCTCTCTTCAGGTTCCTATCCTGAGAGCAGTGAGAAGGTTTTAGAAGAGTTCAAATAGAGGGTTTTATGAGAGATAGGCATTTAAATAAAAGAGAGAAAGAGAGAGAGAGGTGGTTGCATTGTAGAGAACAGAATAGTGAAGAGCAAAATTGGTTGCAGAAACACTAAGTCAGAGGGCTGTTGCAGAGCCTGGACAAGAAATGATGGACGCTTGTACCCAGAGTAGGGGTGAAGAGGAAAAAAAGTAAAAAAGAAGAGGAAGACAAATTCAGCAGAATTCAATGGATTTGATTGAGGTGCTGGACTTACGGAGTCAAATGTGATCCTCAGGTTTCTTTCTGGCTTGTGCAACTGAGAGATGATCTTGCTATGCCATTCACCAAGATGGGGATCCATGGACGAGCAAGCAGGCTTGTAGTGGTGGAAGTTCTTAAGCTCAGTTCAGTATATGTTGGGTTTGAGGTCCATTTGAAATACCCAAATGGAGGATCAAAAATAGGCCTTGACCCAGGCGCGGTGGCTCATGCCTGTAATCCCAGCACTTTCGGAGGCCGAGACGGGTGGATCACTAGGTCAGGAGATCGAGACCATCCTGGCTAACACGGTGAATCCCGTCTCTATTAAAAATACAAAAAATTAGCTGGGCATGGTGGCAGGCGCCTATAGTCCCAGCTACTGGGGAGGCTGAGGCAGGAGAATGGCGTGAACCCGGGAGGCGGAGCTTGCAGTGATCCGAGATTGCGCCACTGAACTCCAGCCTGGGCGACAGAGCGAGACTCCGTCTCAAAAAAAAAAAAAAAAAAAAATAGGCCTTGACACATAGATCTGAAGGAAAAGTCTAGGAAGGAGGTTAGCAATTTGGGAGTCATTGGAATATAGATGACTATTTAAGGCACTGGTGTACACAGGACTTTAGGGATGCAGCATGAGATAAGGAGAGGGACTCAAATTGAGTCTTTAGAAGGAATTGAAGCATTTAATATCCAGGTAGGGAAGGATAACATGGCAAATGATAATGAGAACATGTAGAAAAGCAAGAGAGTTAAGTAAAAGGAGAGTGTTCCAAGACAAGAAGGTGGGAAGGAGTGATCAGCAAACTCCATACCTTTGGGCAATGCCCATAATCCCTTTATCTGTTAAACCAAGAAATAATCACTGCGTATCTGAATATTGTTATAGTAACCAAATCTAATGTTTGAGGAAATGTGGAAATCTGTAAGTTGTTTTATTATGTAATTACTTTCAGTTCTTGGGTTTTATTTTGTTTTCAAACACTGGCATCATTCACACCCTTATCTTACTCTTCCAGGCCTCTTAGAACAAGAGCCAAAAATGTATGAATTTGAAAGTGAAAATGTTCCCAATTCTTTTTGCATAATTGCATGGAAAGTAATTCCACTCAGAACCTGGAACATCTCTCCCACTTGGTTTTCTCCTTTTCCTTTTCCTAAGAACCTAGAAATCCCCAGAAAGTACTTTGTGTCCTGTGAGTATAGGCTGGAGCACTAGAAGTAAACCTAGTAGGTAAACAGCTTCCTGTGATTAAATGGCTAGCTGTGGAGTGGAAGAAGCCTGTGGTATTCAGGGAACACTTTACTGGTACATTCTCCATTCATCGTGGTATAATTAGGAACATGTCACAAGCTCTCCCCACTTTGACTTTTGGAGTGGTTATTAGTTGGTGTTCAGGAAGAGGAAAGGCCAGATGAGAGTGGACCCCCTCCCCACACAACTTGTCTATCTAAAGCCCTGGCACAGTAACTGTTCCTTAACCTCACTGCTGATTGAGAGTAGAGCTAGCTAGCACCAAACCCTCTCTTCCTCTAGGTGAGATGCTGGGCTTGTGGCAACAGTTCCAACCACAAGCTGACTACTATATACAAATGATTCATTTCCAGCCTTCTGCTTTCCTTTAAAGAGTCAGCTGTCATGTGCCGCCTATGACTCACTCAAGCTTCTTTGCCCCAGGGAAATAAGCTCTCTAAAGATTCCTGAGTTCCAGGCCCCTCCTAAGCCAAAAGAGTCACGTTGTTTTTATGATGATACAGCACAGAAGCATCCTGGCTAATTCCCATGTGTTGTCCTGCCAGTAAAAGCACCATCGTTTCTAAGCACAAGAAGTGAGAGAAGGCAATTTGTGTTGCTTTGTTTATGCAGGACAACCTTTAAGCCAGTTGTGGCGTGCAATATATTGAAGAGCGAATGTGTATTTCCGTAGTGGTTCGGAAAGTGAGAGGCGGCCATATATACCCGATGGTTCTAATTCCATATTATGCTTGTGAGGCAGTGCAGAGACTTTCAGAAACTTCAGGAAGTGATCCTGAACTCTTCACACTCTATAAACTGAGGCTTACCCTAATGAAGCTCCACGAAGGACGTTCATCTTATGCTCATTTCAAATTGGCCATGTTTTCTAAACTGTAGTTTTTCCTGTCAGCTGTATATCAGACAAAAAAAATAAAATAAAAATCTGTTAGTTTGAAATGAAGATTTCATGTGAGAAGGAAGTTTTGGTGGTCACATTTTTATCATCTTATTTTCTGAGATCCTCCTCACCCATGTCCCTTATGTTCCAGAATCGGGTCAGCTGTCATTAGCTTTTGCCAAATGTTCATACTGTTGAGGCCACAGACGGATGAATCACCTATTGCCTAACTGAATTAAGCTAAAATGTGTCACTGGCAGCATCCTTATTACAAAATCATGCCCTGATACCACTTCTGTCAGTATGTTTTGCTTTTAAATGTATTATTGATATTCATCAATCAAATGAGCAAGGGCGAGAAATCTTTTGGACATCTGTAGGAGCTGTGTTATGTTACTTTACATAAACAAAAAGTGATTATGTTAACTAAATATGAATTATAACCCATATTAGTGATTTTTTAATATTATAGACCTTGACATTGTTGGCGACCATATTATGGACTAACTAAATCACATTTTATAGGATAGTTTATTACTTGTATTTGTTATGATATAGTCTCATATAGAGTCTCGATGAAGTAAAATTTGGTTTATAGAAAACTTATTTTTAAATACTGTCATCACCTAGGTAACCTGAAGTTTCAGAGTGAAAGTAAGCATTTAAGTTTGTGGTTACAATCTGTTTGATGAATATCAGATTCATAAAAAGTGCAAACTGGTTTCTTTACTCAGTAAAGAACAAAACCAGAGGTCAGCTTTTTTCGTGATCAATAGCAGCCTCACTACCTCAGTAAGATAAGATGGGAGGTAACATTTTGTGATTCCCAGTCTATCGTCAGTGATTTTAAGGGACTATCACAATATTCTTAAAATCCAGTAAAATTTGTTTTCTAAAATATTTCATGCAGTAATTTTATAAGTAAGAGAACAGTGTTCTGAAATAAAGAAAGGTTATTATTAGTCTCAATTGATTAAATTCACAAACATTGAGCATCTATTCCATAAAAGACATTGAACAAAGCTTTTTAGGCTATACAAGAAAATAAAATGTTCTTTGCCCTCGGGGAGCTTTTAAGTTAATGAAGAAGACACATTACACAGTACAGAAAGTTTAATAACAATTTAAAACAAGTAATAATGTGTTTTAAACTAAAGAAGGTATCAAGAGATAGCATATGCATAATTGCCAGGTGAGTAATACAGATTCTGCAGGCTTTCAAAAAAGAGAAAGAACACTTGAGACAGATGTCAGTAGAAACAAATTCACTGAATAGATAGGATTTGAACCAAACCAACTATTAATAATTTCACCAATTATGGGCTAGGAATAGAAACAGATCATGATTGGTGTTGGGTTTGACAGCTATACCTGGAGGCTTTCATCTGATTATCTGCCTACATCTACAGTATTGATTCATATGTCACTTCTTCAATTTGTAGTTTACTAAAGGCCATTCGTCTAAATACAAAGGCCAAAGTGTCAGCATCCTCTTGTAGAGTCAGTCAAGCAGAATAGTGAGAAAATGCAAATAATTATATAAAGTTCAATATCTCAATGCAAGATATCATCTTTACTCTGAAGATAGACCTATATTGTTAGAATGATACTTTTTGAGATTATTGTTTTTAATAACATTTGTTAACTATATGTTTACTAATCCAATCAAGTTGTTTAAGGTTGTAAAAAAAAAACATAACCTTGACCTTTCAGGTGACTGTTGTTTTCAAACAAATGGAAAATAGCAGTGCTTTCCAACATGAATGTACTCAGAGGTCATCTGAAAGTCATGTTAAAATGCAGATTCTGGCTGGGCACAGTGACTCACACCCGTAATCCCAGCACTTTGGGAGGCAGAGGTGGGAGGATCACTTGAGCCCAGGAGGTCAAGGCTGTAAGGGGCCATGATCGCGCTACTGCACTCCAGCCTGGGTGACAGAGTGAGACCCTATCTCAAAAAATAAAAGTGAAAAAGAATGTTTTATATGACTTTTGTCTTTTATTCTCACCCAACTCTTTATTTTTGCCTTTAGCACGAAAGCAAGAGATTATCAAAGTCACCGAACAACTGATTGAAGCTATCAACAACGGGGACTTTGAAGCCTACACGTGAGTAGCAGATGTTTACTTTGCTTTCATGCATATGGTAAATATATTTGTTATATGAATGCATTCTTCAATATATCTAAATTTGCATATATTTAACTCTAGATTTGATATGTCAACAATAGTTTTATTTCATGGTATAAATGACTAAGTGCCCTAGGAGAGAAAAATTTATTTAAGATTTCAGAGGCCAGGCACAGTGGCTCACACTTGTAATCCTAGCACTTTGGGAGGCCGAGGTCGGAGGATTGCTTGAGGCCAAGAGTTCGAGACCAACCTGGGTGACAGAACAAGACCCCATTTCTACAAAAAGTTTGAAAATTAGTCAGGCATAGTGGTGCACACCTGTAGTCCCACATATTTGGAAGGCTGAGGCAGGAGGATCACCTAAGCCCAGTGAGGCCTTAAGTCAAGGCTGCAGTGAGCCATGATCACGTCACTGCACTCCAGCCTGAGTGACAGAATGAGACCCTGTCTCAAAAAAAAAAAAGAAAAGAAAAGAAAAAAAGATTTCACAGAGAGAAGACTTGACTTCTGATCCAGTGATTGGAGATTTCTTTGTAAATACGCAGATGTATAACCACTCCCGCATCACACACACACAAGTCTAGATGAGTAAAGGGCAATCCAGGCAGAGCAATTCATGTGAGCAAAAACACACGCAAAAAAGGAAAGCACATAAAATGTGCATTTCAGCTTAAGAAATGTTTTCCCTTGCAGTTCTGCAGAGGTTCTGGGGCAGAGAAAGAGATTAGGAGGTGACATGAGGCAGCCTTCTCTCTTCAGCCAGTACAATTCAACTTTATCTCCATCTCTTTTATATGTTTGTATCTTAAGGAAAACTTTACTTGAGGAATGGGTTCTAATGCTTATTTAAAGTTTATAAACTCCTGGATCATAGGAACTATGAAGGAAATTACTTTGCTGAAGTAAAAATAAAGCATTCAATTTAAATATGGCCTTCTCCTTACACCATGCAACTCATGAGTTCCACTCCAGCGAAAGACTTAAATGCAAAACAGAGATTGAATCTGATCTCTGGCTAGAAAGATCCAAAAGCTGAAGATAAAATCATAAGTGAGAATATAATATGATTATACCTAAATAGGTAAAATGTGTATACTTTAATTAAAAAGCCAAGAATAAAAGTAAGAGGCAAACAAACTTAGAAAAACATTTTCAAAACATATGTCAAAAGTTAATTTTTTATATTATGTGAATATGATTGAAAAGTAGAAAAATAGGTAAAGAACATGAACTGACTATTATCAGAGGAGGAAATATAAATGACAAGTAAACTAATAAAGGCATGTTTATGTTTACTAATTAAGTATACGCAAACTTGAATGCAAGAGCCTCTTCTGCCTATAAAATCAGCAGACATATAAACTCTGCTGACAGCCGCCAAGGTGCAGATACTACAGGACAGTAGTGACTTTCCTATGCAATGGAATAAAACACAATGGGGTGCAAACTTTCAGGATGGCAGTGATGGCAGAGATGGGGGGATTATTAATATATTTTGTTATATAATCTGTAATTATATACCTGAAAACTTTTATAAAGGCTCACTTTACTGTAATACTATAATTCTATTTATAAGAATTTAACATGAGTATAAATTTTTTATGTAAAACATGAGCAAAAATTTGTGAACAAAGATATATACTGAAGCAGTACAGTTTCCATTAAGTCATCTTTGGTACAATGGTTATGTTGAGTTTCTAGCAACCTGGAAAAATATTTATGATATTTTTACTGAAAATTAAACAGGACATAAAAGAGTATGTACATAATTATTAAAACTACAAAAGTAAAAAGTATTAAAAGTGCCAGGCATGGTGGCTCACACCTGTAATCCTAGCACTTCGGGAGGCCAAGGTGGGCAGATCACCTGAGGTCAGGAGTTCAGGATTAGCCTGACCAGCATGGAGAAACCCTATCTCTACTAAAAATACAAAATTAGCCAGGTGTAGTGGCCCATGACTGTAATCCCAGCTACTCAGGAGGCTGAGGCAGGAGAATCACTTGAACCTGGGAGGCAGAGGTTGCAGTGAGCTGAGATCGTACCATTGCAGTCCAGCCTGGGCAAGAAGAGTGAAACTCCGTCTCAAAAATAAATAAATAAATAAATAAAAAGTATTAAAAGTCGAATGAAATATGCCAAATTAAATTTTAAAAAGAAAAAACGAAGTTGCCTCTGAGAGGTAAAGTTACGTGTGAATTTTTTTCCTGCCTTTTTATAAAAGTAAGCAAGTATTACTTTTATCATTAATTATAAATAAACACCAAATATAAAATATGGAAGAGATTAGCTAAATGTAAGAATGAAACTATATCAGGAGCTTCTTCTTATAAATTAAATGTGTGTGCATATATGTATAAACACATGCGTATACATGTGTATGAGTGTATCAATTCTTTATCATGACCTAATAAGGCATACTTGGAATAAAAGATATAGTAAAAATTGGAGTTAAAAAGAACAGTCTGTTTTCAGAGACAACGGTTCCCTATTAAACAATTGTTTATAACTGAGCCATAGAACCTGCTTTTTAAAAATTCTTGTTGCTGTTATATCCTTGTTAGATACATATGATTATTCAAAGAATAAGAATATTCGCTTTTTAAAAAATCTTGTTTTTGCAATAGCATTTCCTTGTGGAATGATAAAAAAGTTGTGTTTGTTGTTGTTAAAAAAGAAAAAAAGAAGTTGCCTCTGAGAGGTAAAATTGTGTATGAATTTTTTTCCTGCTTCTTTTCTATTCTTTCTCAATTTATAAACAGATACTACTATTATATAGGGAGCAATTGTAGCCAGGCAAAAGTGTATGTTTCCTATATTCTCAGACAGTTTAAAATAGGGTATTTTAAATAATGCTAAACCTTGGGAACACATCAGTTCACTAATATCTTTGCCTATGGAGACCTATAATCTGCCCTGATTTTGTACTTTCCAGCCAGAGCTAATCCAAGAGGGCTGCCATTCAAGAGCTTTTGGGATGGTAGAATGTACTGGTGTATCCCTGTCAACTGGTCCTTAGAACACCTGTTCAGATCACACACACCCACATGTCAAATGGCAGCTTTGTGGATCTTTTATTAATCCAAAGACTTTTATAGGGTAGATGGATGATTAGATAGATAGATAGATAGATAGATAGATAGATAGATAGATAGATAGATAGGAACATTTCCAAATATATTGACTCTTTTCATGGTTGGGTAAGAAGATCCATCATGGCCTGTGATTCCTAGATTATGTTAGTACTGATGTAAGGCAGTAAGAAATTTTGGTTCACTGATAATGACAACCAAAAACCATATTTATAGAGGAAGTAATAGCCCCTGGCAGAATAAATTCTTGTTACCATAGGAACGCTGTTCTTCCCATTTTGCTTCTTAGAAAGAGACTATATATATTTGATTTTAAGCTTAGACACGCCTACCCAGCAGGCAGTCTGAAGTGAAGGTTGTAATCCTTGTCCCCACCATCTTTAAGGCACAAAGGATATCCACTGTGATTTCTACTTTTTAAAAGTATTCTTTAAATAATACCAGTTCCACGTTCTATAAACAGTACTGCACTTTGAGGAAGTACAGTGAGATAGACTTTTGAAATTTGTATTTCTGTTGAACATTTAAAAAAATTTGCCACCCCCAAAGGGGAATTTCTCTATGAAATTAGGTGTGGCCCCATCCACTGTATTATCCTTTGGGGCAAATTAATAAACAGTCCAAAATCCTTTGATTTGTACTCCATTTGATCTACCTTGTGAACTCCCACTCGTTCTTCAAATCCAGATCTTATCACCTTCTCTGAGAAGCCTACCCTGATCACCATAGGCCCAAAGGAAATATTTTCCTGTCTACATTTCCAGGGGCCTTACACACATAACACAGTGACCTTGCTTTCCACATCAAGCAACCAGTCATCATTCCCCAAGCGTACTCTGCATTTTCACAGCAGCAGACCATTGCACTTGCTGTCCTCCCCCTGCCCACCACCTCCCACATACCTGGAAAACTCTTACTCATTCTTCAAAGCCCAGCTAACATTTTCTTCCTCTCTTAAACCTTTCCTGTTCACTGTCTATTAGTAATCTGTTTTTTGAGCACTTCACATTTTCATCTATTCTGGTATTGATTATTGTATTATAATTGCTTCTTTTAAAGAATATCTGCCACATACTTGGCGTTCAGCAATTCTTTACTGAATAAATAAATTTCTCCAAAGAAAGCTCATTGGTTTTTTTCAAATATTTAAAATTGCACACCCCTTTATTGAATCATACTTCTAGGATTAAGAAAGAAAACCAGTATGAGCATTTGAACCTCCTATTGATTTCATTTTAAAAATAAAATAAACTTAAACACAATAATAAGATGTAAGTCTTGTGGACATTGCCAGGAAGTGTAGGGTGTGATACTTTCTTTCAAGTCAATTGTCATATACATGTTTGACATGAATGTAGAAGATGTGGTCCAACAAAAATTATTCCAGGGCTAAGCACGGTACCAGGCTCACCCCTGTAATCCCATACTTTGGGAGGTCAGGTGGGAGGATCACTTGTGCCTAGGCGTTAGAGACCAGCCTAGGCAACATAAGGAAACCCCATCTCTACTAGAAATAAAAATTTAAAAATTAACCCAGTGTGGTACTGCACATCAATACTCCCAGCTACTAGGGAGGCTGAGGCGGGAGGATTGCTTGAGTCTGGAAGGTTGAGGCTGCAGTGAGCCATTATTGCACCACTACACTCCAGCCTGGGCAACAGAGCAAGACTCTGTCTCAAAAATAATAATTATTATTATTATTATTCCAGAAGTATTTAATTTCAGATTCAAAGATACTTTTATAGGATTTGGAGAGTGTCTTAAACTTGGACAAAACGACTTGGAGAGCATTTTTAAAAAATAGTAAACCTCAATCAAGAGTTAAGGTTGATTAACTTAAAACTGGAAAATTCACCTTAAAAATAAAAAAGTAGAAATTGTAAAAGGGGGCTTCCTAAAATATTGTATATTATCATCTGCTTGAACTGGATAAATTAGTTTGTTCCTATCGGAGTTCTCTGCAAAATGTCTTTTCAGAGTCTGCTCCCCAACCCACCTTGCCAAGGTTTTTGATAGAACATTTTTATTTCATTGTTTTTAGAGGCTCTTTCCTTCAGCAACTAATAAATCAGAATGTTTACACATGAAACAACAAAACACATTAAAGCACCTATTAATTTGTTATTTTCTTTATTTTTCTTTTACAGAAAAATCTGTGACCCAGGCCTTACTGCTTTTGAACCTGAAGCTCTGGGTAATTTAGTGGAAGGGATGGATTTTCACCGATTCTACTTCGAAAATGGTACATTTATTCCTAATTTAATAACATGCCCTTTTTAAATGTCTCTGAATTTTTCCCAAATTTGCAGATTCTTTGGCTCTTTTCTACAATGAGAGTTTTCACCTTCATCCAGCATTTGAAACATACAATTGTTTTGTATTCAAAATTGAAAAAAAAAAAATATGTCAGGCTTGGCTTACAGTTTTGGTGTGTTTTAAAAAATATCTTCGTAAAAAATTAATGTTGGCTGGGCACCGTGGCTCATGCCTATAATCTCAGCACTTTGGGGGCCAAGGCGGGTGGATCACTTGAGGTCAGGAGTTCGAGACCAGCCTGACCAACAGGGTAAAACCTCATCTCTACTAAAAATACAAAATTAACTGGGCATGATGGCGCACACCTGTAATCCCAGCTACTTGGAAGGCTGAGGTATGAGAATTGCTTGAACCTGGGAGGCAGAGGTTGCAGTGAGCCAAGATCGCAAGCCTGGGCAACAAGAGTGAAACTCCATCTCAAAAAAAAAAAAAAAAGGAGTAATGTTGATAGAATACACTTCAAGCAAGTTCCAGTTAATGTATAATATAGGCTATAAATCAGTTACAAAAAATGTTATTTCACGTTTTCATAAAACTATATATAAAAAAATTAGGCAGGCACAGTGGCTCATGCCTGTAATCCCAACACTTTAGGAGACTGAAGTGGGAGGATAGCTTGAGGCCAGAAATTCAAAACCAGTATGAGCAACATACTGAGACCCCATCTCTACAAAGAAGACAAAAATTAACCAGGCATGATGACAAGCACCTGTAGTCCCAGCTACTTGGGAAGCTGAGATGGGAGATCACTTTGAGACCAGGAGATTGAGGCTGCAGTGAGCTTTGATCATACCACTGGATTCCTGCCTGGGTGACAGAATGAGATCCTGTCTCAAATTTTAAAAATAAGAAAAGGAAAAAATTTTTAAAAACCACACCATGCCAAAATATTCAACATAGAAGAGTGCTTTCAAGCATATGTGATGCTTATTTTCAAAGTAAAATGAAAATCAAGTTGAGTAATCAGATAAATCTTTCAATTCAAATTTTAAGAATTGTGGTAGTTTCAGAGGAAACCACCACTTTTCAAAGAAGGTGACAAAAGAAGTTCATCCTGCAGAAATCCTTCAGGTCATCAAGAAAAATGTAAACCAGGAATTCCCTTTATCCTTCTCTTTTTCCTTACACCTAATGACATTAGACATTATGCTGTGTTTGCATATTGCATTAAGTGAATGTACTATTTTTGCAGAGATCTTATTGAATTAAAGAAGAAATGTATTATAGGAATAATTGGGATAATCACATCACTTTCAGTAATTATAAGCTTTGATAAGAATGTCTGCTTTGGCATGGATTTTCGAAGTAAGATGTGTTGAATGAGTTACTTTTTCTTATATGCATCAGGCATTTACAAACAAATAAACAAAAAGAACCATTTGATAAATTCTCTCTCAAAGTTTCAGTAAATGTTATCATATTCCCTATATTCCAGTGTTCTGATAGCATCTCATGTTTCCTCCAACTAACTCTCTGTTGACATCGTCTGATCCCTAATGAAAGAATTAACCCATTAATATTTTAACCTATTTCAGCATAACACTATACATCATGTTCCATAAATGTAATTCCTTCATAATGGGGTATTCAGGTGACTATAATAATATTTTGTATAATTTGAATAGATGTTTTCTGAGAATGGAAAGCATGTTTGGATAACAGCTAAAAACAATTCAATGTTTTCTAGTGATCTAAGAAAGGAACAGCATCAGTAAGTGATGTGCCCTAGTCCTCCTCATATCTCTTGGTAATTGAATAATTAGAATTGGTAACTACTGTTAAAACACCAGAGTCTGGAGCATAGTGAGGGCTACTCAAGCAAGGGAAAGAGCTAGAAGATCAGAATCAGGCTGTGTGCCAACACCACATTTTGAATGTTTATCAAATGATCACAGTGGACTATCATGGAATAGACTCTAGTATGTGGAGGAGTCAGAGGATGAGATGAGAAACAAGTTCATAGGCTTGTTCAAAGGCTACCGCCAGCCTTATTTTGGAGACAGTGATATCCATACCTGAAACTTGATATATTGCCCTTCTCCCACATACTTCACCAACTAACAAAAACAAACACCACCGCAAGATCCCTGGTCAACTGTCCCAGCAGTTCATTCCCGGAAAAGACAGGAACTGCTTGGCACACCTGGGCCAGGCCTTCTTCACCTCTGTTCACGTTGTGATTTCTGTTTCTAACCACTTTCCTTCGTAAATAAATATATCTCTCCAGCTTTCTCACCCGATCAGAATTTCCAGAGGAGCATATAAGTGCCTGTGAAGGAAACCAGATAAAAGAAAGACTACGTCCACTTTTGTTCTTTCCTTGCTTTGTACAGTGCCCAGTACCAGATTAGTATAAATAGTAGATTAATTAACTAATTAATTACTGACTGAATAAATGGCATTTCATGTATTGGTCCTAACTGAAGTTATTACTGGTTTTAGTTTCCTTTACATAGAAACTAAATTTTGCTTTTCATGTTTTTCTCTTTCAGCTTTGTCCAAAAGCAATAAACCAATCCACACTATTATTCTAAACCCTCATGTACATCTGGTAGGGGATGATGCCGCCTGCATAGCGTATATTAGGCTCACACAGTACATGGATGGCAGTGGAATGCCAAAGACAATGCAGTCAGAAGAGACTCGTGTGTGGCACCGTCGAGATGGAAAGTGGCAGAATGTTCATTTTCATCGCTCGGGGTCACCAACAGTACCCATCAAGTAAATATTCCCAGGCTGTCAGCTTCTTTGTTAATACACCCATGGTCAGCTTCTTCTACTTATTCCATTGTTAATAGCGTGGTATATGTTATTTAATGCTAGTAGTTGGTTACACTGATGAAAATAAATGACTTCACGGGAAAGGTTTATGATTCTCTGGAAAGATCAATCAGATCAGCCATCTGTGGGTTGAAACTTGCTATAGAGCAGTATACAATAGGTTTGGATAGGACTAGAGACTACCATATCAAAATCTCACAGTGTTAAATCTAGGGGATTTGTATAATAAGGCAAAATATTTGTGACTTCATTTTCTCAATTGACAGAAGGGGATATCAGAGGAAAGCATAGGGTGGAGTTTCTAAAATGGCCAATATATTATCAGGAGTTTCATTTCATGGACGATCCCCTAAGGCTCAGTTACAGAGACCCTTTTAAAAGGCCATTGTCAGGTAGTGCAATGTCGTTCTCACCTCACCACTCTACCTCAGATATCATTTGCTTTTCCAGTCAGCGATTAGACACATATTTATTGTGAATCTCCTAGGTGCTTAACCTGTGCCAGATTCAACACAAGGTAAAAGATATTGCTTTCAAGGAACATGCATTCTCATTTAGTCAATCATTGATTCTAAAGAAAAAAATGATATAATAAACTTTATCATCAACTTAAGAATACAGTAAAATTCATGAACAGTGTAGTAAACTGTTTATAACAGTTTGGAAGTACACTTTGTGTATAAGATAGAATTTTGGACAAAATCTTAAATGATGAGTAGAATTTAGAGACATAGAAAGATAGAAAAAACAAAGGAGAATAGTCCAGGCTAAAGGAGCATCGTGAAGAAAAGTACAATATCAGGATTTAGTTTAATATGAGAGAACATTATTGGTAAGGAATGCCGGTTACAACTAGAGTAAAGAGGAATAATTGAAAATAGGTTTATTAGTAAAGTGGAGTGATAAGAAAACAAGAAGCGTTTAAACTCAGTGTAGAAGATTGGTCCACTGTTGATCTCTTTCCGAATTATCTCACCAGGATCACCTGTTAATATTTGGGATTTGGAATGGGGGTTCATACAAACAGCCATTCAACTCACTCCAGAGAATCCATCATGATTTCTTAGTTTGATAACATACCACAGTGGTTTTCAGAGGCCTTCTGTATAGACTTACTACTTATATATCACAGTTGGATTTGTAAAAAGTGGGTCAACAGGGACCAAAAAAAAAAAAAACCAAACGATAGGCTGAAATTTATTCCCAAAACCATAGCTATGTAATTAAGAGAAAAACACAAGAGGAATATGAAGATAATGAAGACACCTGTTTTTGTGTGTTTTTTACCCCAAAGAGGTACAGCACAAATCACCAGTTAATATAGAAGGGGTTACATTCATACAGTACCAGAGGGTTAGGTTTTTTTACAATTCCCTGAAGTGTTTATGGGATGAAGCCTATTCAAGAAAACTTCATTTTATGCCAGGTGGCTTAAATGGGGCTTCTCTTAATAGGCCACCCTGTATTCCAAATGGGAAAGAAAACTTCTCAGGAGGCACCTCTTTGTGGCAAAACATCTAAGGCCTGAAAATCATTCACATATGGGTCTTGTAAGTAACATCCTGCTCCGTGATACTTTGTGATTGGAGCTGAATGAAAAGCTGCATGGCTGTTTTCCTTCCTTTTGAGGATATTTTTTCTTGCATAATATTCAATGAAAAACATACACGGTCTTTGAAAATTCATAGCAATTTTGCATGAGCTTTTGAATCTAACATTCAGCCCTATTTGGTAGCATAATCCTTATTTTAAAGGTAATAAACATTGAAATGAATTTTTTCCAACATGTGGATTATGTCATGTTAGAATCCTGAAGTTTTCACATCAAAAGTAAATTATGTCTAGGTCAGTTCAGATAACTCTCAATTATCCTTACTTAATTTATATTAAGCTTTAGAATCCTCTGGTGTCTTAACCATTCTTTCAAGAGGTTGCAATTCTATAAGCAGCTGGCTATGGTGAATGTGTAAATCAATTTGCTGTGCCTGACTGAGTATAATGGTGCTTGACCATGAGCACAGGCCACAGGAGGAAGTCAAGCTGAAATTTAAAACTCACAAAGTGGGTAATTCCAGAGGATAATTGAAAGTTGACTGTAATTAACTTCATGCTTTTATTGTTGTTTTTAATTAGTTGTTTCTTAGACTTGGGTTACAAGTATTCAGATATGTATGGTGCTGTTGTGAATATTTGCCTCATTCAGAGAACTAAACCTTATCAGAGCTTTTAACAAATAGTGCTCCCAGCTGTTGCTTTCAGCAAAGGAGAGCTCCAATTAAAGAGAGTAATCATGTTCTCTCTACTTTTGAGACTATATTCCTTGTTAAATTGACTTCTAGGTTTAATTTCCCAAGGAATCTAATAATAATAACAAAAACTAAGGATGAACTTGAATTTTAAGTCTATTTCAGCAAAAAGATTATATTCATTTACTAATTTGTCCAGTAAACAGGAATGCTTAAGATGTATACTTAGATTTAATAACGTGACTGAAGCCTGGGTCCCTGTCTCTTTATTTTTAGCTTAGCTTTGTGTGAAAAAATAATTAATACTCATTTTCTATTTTAATACTGTCTTTGTGTAACATTGTGTGTTTCTTCCTGTAATGATCACAAGCAAACATCTCTTATACATAGTGTTCTCAATCTATTTGTTAGCCAAGTTATAAAACTGTAGCATAGTCAAATCTATGGCAAAGCAATTTGATGATATTTTGTAAAACAATATAATTTATTTCTTCCTCCCCCTTTCTCCTTTCAGCTAAATATCAACAGTGCCACTTCTGCATTCTCTGTTCTCAAGGCACCTGGATGGTGACCCTGGGCCGTCCTCTCCTCCTCTTCATGCATGTTTCTGAGTGCATGAAGTTGTGAAGGTCCTACATGTAATGCATATGTGATGCATCATCTTATCATATATTCCTTCCTATACATTGTTTACACTTCAACTACGGGGATGTTCCGTGCAAACTTAAATTACTGTTGGCAAAACAATAGGGGGAGATTAGACAAAAAGAAAAAATCCACAATATTCCAAGTACAACTCTTCATCAAGTTTCTCTGTTAATGCCAAGATTTAACAGACTTAAGAACTATTGTTCTCTGAATGACAGTTTGTAAGAGAAATGTAAATTTTTTAGAACTCTTTGCTGTTAATCTGTTTTGGCTTGTTTGGTTTTTTTGGGTTTTTTTGTTTTTGTTTTTGTTTTTTTTAAGGTAAAAAAATATACCTTCAGTTTCCTGGTGTGATCCTGGTTAAAATGGATGATTTTTCATGGGAAGTTTTGCTGATTAGCAATTAAAGTGGGTTGATATGTTGGCAAAATCACTTATGAAAGTAGAAGCAAGAATCAGTTGGTTTGCTACCACATAAAGCCATGCTCTTTTTGGTCAAACTGTGTAAACTGGAAAAATTCACATCATTTCTGAGTTTAATCACTTTAGGATATATTCACATTGTTTTGGTGAATTTGCTGAATTGAATTGTTTTTCTTTCTCGAATCTGTGATCTCTTTTCTTTATCCTGTTTCTTTGTTCCTTTCGTTTGCTTCCTTTTTTATTTTTCTTTTGTTCCATTCTTTTCTTACTTTCTTCCCTTTTCCTTTTTTGAGGAGGCCGGCTAGTAGTGTGTGAGAAAAGAAAAAAAGTGAAATTTGCATAATGAAGGTAAAAAGGAAATAAAAGCCTTTTGAAGGTGGCTTAACTAGCACTTTTGATCATCTTCAGGGCCCACAAAAATGTTGTCAAGATTTTAAAGGTTTATAATTCTGCTTAAGCTCTACTTTGGACTTAGGTATCCTAACTATGTTGGAGGTATTTGAATTGTTTAAACTTAGGATAAAAGCAAGTTCCTCCTGTGACTGCAACGTCTTACTGATTGGGACAGTTGCCAGGAGGATACCAAGTTGATAGCAGAGGGGGTGTTATGCAAACGCACTCACCTCCGCCTTGGGGAATGAAAGGGTCACTTCTGCATCATCACTAGCTAGTTTTCTAGCGTTAGAGAGGCTTACAAATGTTTGCCATTCTCATACGTGTTTTGAACTTGATCTTTGTGACTTGTGTTTTTTAGCTTCTCTCTTGAATCAGAGTATCGTTATCTTCCTCCAAGGAGTTAGGATTTTCCAGTTTAAAACAAAAAGGGAAATGTCCTAGGTTTTCTTTGTGCTTCTCATTTTTCCTTTGTTGATTGAATTCCTGTGATTTTTTTGTTCTCTTCTCTGAAATGCTTTACAGTGCATGGAATCTCCATCATTGTTATTTTAACGGTAGTAATTCACAGTCCTCAGAAGCCTGTTTTTAAAGCAGAAGCAAAAAAGGAAAACAAAGCAGCAAAAACAACCCTTCGTCTTTTCTCTCATCTCACCTTTCTGTGTTGATTACTAATCATCTTAGATATTATTGCTAGTGGATGAATGGTAGATGGGTTGAAGCTTTTCTGATAATTATTACACAATTTAAAACAATATATATTTAAAATAAATATATACAGTCAATATATTGAGCCATGTTAACCTGCCAATGAGATCTGTGAAAAAAATAATGGCCTCATTTTTCCCTTTTTAATTTCTTTTACCCTTTTGTGAAGCAGCTATACGTGGCATACATGTATTTAAAGAAAAAAATAGGTGTAGAGTGTTTTTTTTTACACTTTTAGCATGTGGTGTTGAAGTATTACTGTAGATCAAGTTTGTCTTCCGCACTAAGATGTGAGGAAATTGTGATTTGTTCTCTCCACCACAAATGAACTACACATTTATTATCTTCTATCATTTTGAAACACTGCAGTTTACCATGCGACACTGTATATATTTCTTGCCATAATGGTAAATGACTGATTGATATATTTAAGAGTTAATAAATTTGTGATTTCTGCTGACAGTGCGTCCATCTTTATTTCTTCAGAAGAGCTGCTGTATTTATGTCTGCATGGTGCTGGCCAGTGTCAAGGGCAGTGTATCCTGCTCTGTCCTCATTCAGTACATGACAATTTGCACTTGGTGGGAATGGCAAGTTAATAGTTCTCTATGAGCAAAACAATGGTCTCTTCTGGGAAATTGTTGCTGAGAACAACATAGTTAACAACTAAGACTCCTAAAAGCTTCTCTATACTATACCCTCCAATCCAGCCTTCACATGGCTGCTTTTTTTTAAACACAAACCTGACCTTGTAACGCTTTGGTGTTATCATCTCTGGGATATAGGCAAGCACCCCAGCTCCTGCTACTTCTCAACTTGAACTAGAGCATACGTGGATGCTCAGCTTCTTTTGATTTGCTAAAAACATCCACTTGCTCACATGCCTGTTTATGCTGTTCATGTTTATGTTTCTTACCTAGAATAAATAGTCTTCCACTACTTCTTACTCTTTCCTAAGATTCAGTGTAGAGCATCATGCTCCACAGCAAACCTTCCTAGGCCCTATTCTGGGCTTGCCTTCCCTCTCAATACTTGCATAATTGATTGTATTTACCTCTCCTGCCAACCACATTGTTTTGAAAATATATTTCTATTTGTGTTTCCTCTACTGCAGTATAATGTCGCTGTAGGCAAGAACTGTGTATTCATCATTGCATTCCTAAACCCAAACCAGGGCCAGGAATGGAGATATCGTTGACAAATAGTTGTTGAATTGAGGCCAACCCCTTTTGATAACAGAAGCCTCAAAGTGTACTCAGATGGTCCTGGATTTAATGATGGGTTCTCTCACCATTGTCTTGATGCTCTGAGCAAGTTACCTCTTCCCTCTGAACCTCAGTTTCCATAGTTGTAAAATGAGAATAAACATACCAATTTAATAAAGATATTGTGAGAATTAATGGGTACAGAGTGACTAGAATGATATTTGATAGAAATTAAATGGTAGCAGTATAACTATTCTGATCACTGATATTAATATTCCTATTGTTATTAGTCTTTACTCACGAGGGTATACAACTCTTGTTTTGCTGTTGGGCTGCCCTCTTTATGTAGGTTTACTGTTACTGCTGAGGATATATTCGGACTCAAATGTCTCAGCAGGATACTGAGAGACACCAAATGAAGTGGTCATCTAGCTGAATGTAAGAAAAATGAAATTTAGTAGTAAATCAGTATGTTCTAAGGAAATTTTCAAGGAATATTAATCTTAACCCAAATTTCAAATTTTTGTGTAAGAAGAATTATAATTTAAGGGTAAACATAGATGACACAGCTTTCGAGTGATTTCATTGAATAAAATCCTACTGACTTCTATGAACCTTTCATGGCTCTGTGGTCTCTTTATCAGATTTTTTAAAGGTGAGAATGTACAAAATGATTGCAGTGAAGATAGCATACTAGACCGTGTGTCCATGAGCTGAACAATAGCTGTCATAAACCACCCTGACCTGAGAAAGCAGCACGAAGCAATTACAGCGTTCCTGCTTTTCTCTCAGACAAAACCAATTCTCAGAAGAGAGCCGGAATGTTCTCCTGCAGACTGGAATAGGAAAAGTTGATAACAGATTAAGCAGTAATTGTACTCCAGAAGGATTTGCATTTAGGCTTTTGCTGTTTTACAACAGAAAAAAAGAATTCTTGTTTGTCCGTAACAAGTTTTTTTTTGTTTTTTTAAAATGTCACCAACATTTAAAAATTGGATATGTCATGTAAAAGTCATGATTTCTGGCTTAAATAATTTGAAAAAGTGTAAGGTCTGCCCCACTGGTTCTGTGTTCACTACAGCAACAGTCAGAGAAGCTGCTGCCTCTTTTAGAGGGGAGCAAGCACTCCCCCATCCCCACCAGGCACACACATGCTTCAGGCCTGCCCCATGAGTTTGCTGCTGGCTGCTTGGACACTGAAGACTTCGACCTGTTTCTTTTTTTTTTTTTTCTTTTTTCTTTTTTGTTTGTTTGTTTTTTGAGACAGTCTCATTCTGTCACCAAGCTGGAGTGCAGTGGCACGAACTTAGCTCAGTGCAACCTCCTCCTCTTGGGTTCAAGGCTCACGCCTCAGCCTTCTGAGTAGCTGAGATTACAGGTGCATGCCACCACACCCAGCTAATTTTTGTATTTTTATTAGAGATAGGGCTTTGCCATGTTGGCCAGGCTGGTCTCGAACTCCTGAGCTCAAGTGATCCGCCTGCTCGGCCTACCAAGTGCTGGGATTACAGGCGTGAGCCACCGCGCCCAGCCAGCTTTGACCCCTTTCTTAAAGCCAAAGGGCACCTCTGTTGGCACCTCAGGCCCCAGTGAACAGGTAGGGCATTGGTTTGTAGAGGGATTGTTCTCAGCATCCCTAAAACCATACTACTTAGGCAGCTGTCTTATTGCCAGACCTCTGCTACTAAAATGCTTGTCATTATTTTCTATTTCATTTTAAGAAGAAAATCGAGGTCCACACACACACACACACACACACACACAAAACCACAAAGCACAGAGTTTTTCTGTGGTACTATTTAATTTATTATAGGAAGATCTGCAGCTATTTTACAGTAAAATGAGTTTATTTTGTCCTAGTTTCAAAGTCTTCAATGGCCAAGAACTGTTGGGTAATTTTTATTGCTGAGTCTCTAGGCAGGACCAAGACAAATTGTGAAATACTTATACAAATTCTAGTAATTTTCTATCTGCAACCAGATGTTTAGAAACTGCTTTGGGATATTATGATTTGTGCTATGGCCTGACTCAATTGCTAGCCCATAATGTAATCTGGGCTTAATCTAAGTTAGCTCTTTACAAGGCTAGTAGAACCTAACTCACTTGCTCCTTGGACTTTCTCACACCCTTGGAAACCCACAACCATGGATACATCCTCTTATCTACTTGGGCCATCCTCATAATTCTACGGCTGAATGTAGCTTGAAAAACGTGCCCCTGTGCTGACAGGTCTTGTTATGTATTCTTGGCTATTCACCTCCCTCAAGTAAACCCCAGAGACTGCCCAAAAATCATATGTCCCTAATCCATTCTCTCTTCCAGTCTTCTGTCTGCTATTTCAGACTTCATTTTCTTTTCCCACCTCCAACATTTCTTCCCCATCCTCACTCAGGTGAGGACCTTGCTCCTTATTTCACTGCAAGAAATGAAGTAATCTCTGCATCTCTGTGTATGCACCCTGCTCTCTCTTTTATTGCTGTTCGTAAATAGGTCATGCACCTGACAAAGCCACCAGCTCTGCTCACAGGTAGCAACTCTCCTTACCTCATCTTGTCAATATAAATAATTTCCTCCATACTAGATGTATCCACCAGTGCCCCATTTCTTTATAGCTAGATTCATTGAAAGTCTTGCCTAAATTGCTGTCTGAAATTTCTCTCCTCCCATTCTCTCTTAAACCCACTCCAGTTACCCTTACCTCTCCACAAAACAGTTCTCTAAGTCATCAATGACTACCATGTTGTTAAATCCAAGGATCCATTTTCTGTCCTCGTTTTTACTTCATCTCTCAGCAGCATTTGACACAGTTGTTCATTCTGTCAGTCTTTAAACATTCTTCTCTTGTTGTTCAAACAATACATTTGCCTGATTTTCCTCCCAGCTTTATAGATGCTCCTTCCCAGTCTCCGACTGGTCCTTTTTCATCAACCTGACTTTTACATTTGGAAGACTTTTTGTTTTCGTTATTTTTTTTTTCTGTCTGTTTTTGAGACAAAGTCTTGCTGTGTTGCTTCGGCTAGCCTTGAACTGGGCTCCAGTGACCCTTCTACCTCAGCTTCCTAAGTAGCTGGGACTATAGGCACATGCCACCATGTCCAGCTTGACTTTTAAATTTTGGAACTCATCTTCATTCTCTCCCAGGGTAATTGCATCTAATCTCAATGGCTTCAGATTATATTAGTGATTCTCAAACATACATCTCCAGTTTAGATCACTCCCCTAAACTCCAAACATATATATTCAGCTGCCTATTGGAAATCTACATTATACATCTAATAGGCATGCCAAATTAACATATCATAAACTGAGTGCCTGATAGTCTGTACCAAAACCCTCTGTTATAACTCTTTCCATATCTCAAGGATGGGTAACTCAGTTCTTCCATTGATCAGACCAGAAATCTTGGTACCATTCTTAATTCCTCTCTTTCTATTTGAAATCCCTTCAAAACATAACCAGAATGTGACCACTTCTCACAATACTGTCTGCTACCTCCCTTGAATCAAATCATCATCCTGTTTTCTATATTACTGAAATGTCCTCCTAACAGTTTCTTGGCTTCTGTTCTTTGTCTATTCTCTATGCAGCAGCCAGAATGAACTTGTTAAAATATGTCAAAACATATTACTTCTCTGCTAAAAATCATCTGGTAGTTTCTGCTTTCACTCAAAGTAAGAGACAAAGTGAGTCTTGCCTGATGCCCCTCTCTCTATGACTTTCTCCCCTTCCTCTTCTGTGAACGTACCAGCGATGCTCCCATCTTGTGACCTTTACACTTGCTGTTTACTGTGCTAGACACACTCCTCCTCGTAAAGGCAAGAGGCAAGAGGCTGGCTCCTTCACTTTCTTATTTCGTTACAAAATAAAGTCACCTTCTTGGTCAAGCCTTCACTGATAATCCTATCTAAGATTCAAACTCCCTCCCCCACCGGCACTTTATATCTTCCTTCTCTGATTTTCTTCTGCTTGGTAGTTACTATTTAACATACTGCTTTCCTCATTTTATTCATGTTATTTATCAGTTGTCTCCTCTACTAAATTACACAGCGAGAGCAGGGATTTTTATCCCTTTTGTTCACTCATGTATTCCCAACTCCTAGAAGTATCTGGAACATAGTAGGTGCTTAATTAATATTTGTAGCTGAATAAATGATTGCTCTCTTGCTTTACAGTTGAAAAACCTGAGGCTCCCAGCACATACATGATTTGCTTCAGAGTAATTCCAAGAGCTGTAAATTGCTTACATCGTAATCAACT